ATGAGCTGTAATTGCAATAAATAAATAAAAACAGAAATAAAAGCCACATTCCAAGTTTAGTACGTAAACACTGGTTTTTAACCGTTCTTTTGCTCATTTTTGTACAGGACTGCGGGGTTGTATCCTGATGCTTCCAGATTTGGAATTTTCTTTGCTGTTGTTTTAGCGTCTCACATAATCGGTGAACTACTAACGCTTGTTATGCTTGGCGTGGTTCAAAACCCAAATATAGTCCAAAGCGGAGTGGTGCTACTTAATTCAGCAGGTGTGATAGTGGGAACGGGACTAGTAAGGTAGGAAAAAGTTTTATTTCATTACGGTGTTAATGTTAAAATAATCTACCGATAGAAGAGTTTCATGACAAGTCTGTATTGCCGACGCTCAATAACGCACAGGTAGCAATGGAAAGAAAGTGCAGGGGTTATCCTTCAGAGGCAGAACTGCCTAATCGTGTTAGATCTTGTACTAAACACACAAAAGAGACAACTTTAGATACCAGCAGAGATATAATTTTTTTCACTTTTTCAAATAAATTGAAGATAAAACTGAGTTACTAATATCTGCCATCTCAGCTGAATTTTTACTTCTGCTGATATTATCACATGAAATACTGTCCTCATTACAGGATTCTACCAAAAAACCCCCCAAACTTTCAACTTTTAGTAACTGTTGCAACTTATCAGGTATGCTATGAATATTGGTTTTTAAAAAAAATTGTTCTCTACCATCTTATTAGTGTTACTCTCAAGTTTAGACTGTAAACTTTTCAGACACTTTTTCTATCTGCAGACTTAACTATATAAAAATAATAAAGTAGTTTAGTAAATATGCAGGAAAATTCTGATCCACTTGCTCTATTACTGTGCAAATAACTATTTTTGCATTGTGACTGCATGAACTTCAAACGTTTTTTCTCTTGTACTTGTCAATACTGATATTACTGTTTTTTGAGAAACTTATCATAACAAATTGTCAAAAAAAAGTTTTGAGATGTTGAGAAAATACGATATGCTCACCTGAGGTCTTTCCAGTGAAAATGAAGTAAGCCTAACAAAAAGATAGTGTCAAGTTGTCCTCGAGAAAAGCATACGAGTCTTCACAAAGCTGATGATGCTTTGTCTCTTCAAAGTAGATCTCAGCTAATACTTGCTTATCAAATAAAACTAAGTTCACATCTAATTAATTTGGTCCCCGCCTAATTTCAGGAATGTTTTTAGTGACAAGACAGTTATTCCCCCTACCATAGTTTAATGCCTTAATGATAACTTTAAAAAAGTATTAGAGTGGTTTCTAACCTTATTTTACAGTAGAGACATTGCTAATTAATATTGTGAATCTATTTGGTGATTAAACTTCATAGGTAATGAAGGATATTAAAAATAGCATTGAGATTTGGGTTGTGGTTTTCCTCTGTTATTTTTTTAAATTATAAATTCTTGCAGTATTTTAGGTGCAGCATAATTGTTGAATAATGTTGTTTCAAAATTTTCATGCTCTTCCTCTTCTCTTTATTCCTTGCTTCATTTTTGTGTTGTTATTACTGTTCTGGTGAACTGATATTCAGTCTTTTTTGGTTTTGAAGATGGAGTGGGGGGTGTGTGGTTTCTCACTTTGGAAGCAACACATTTTTGCAACTAAGGTTTATATTGGGTCTTGTCGTTTTCAGTTTATCACTGCAATGAGAACATCAAAAAACTTCATAGAATTATTTGTGACTGTCCATAAACAAGTCAGGGCTGAATGTTATGGAACTGTACTGAAGTCAGACAGCCTTCATGACTGCCTCCTCACTTAGCACAAAAATGGACTTTATGTTTGGGAACCCTACATGTACGGCCAAGAACTGTTTTTGTAACAGTCTAAGACCAAAGATGAGAGCTTGTTTTAATTTGGGGTAGAATTGGCTCTTGGAATGTAGCAAAAGCCAATTTAACTTCTCTGTTTCTTTAAGGACCATTGAAGAAATGCCAACACCTTTTAAAATACTCAGTTATCTTACCTTCCAAAAATACAGCAGTGAGGTTCTTACAGTCAATGAATTTTATGGTTTAAACTTCACATGTGGTAAGTGTTCAAAAAAAAAGGCCTTTAAATCCATTGTAAAAAATAAATTTTAATGAGATGTTTCTTTTCTTTCTACATACAGTAAAAGTATTTTGATAAGTTAAAGATAACTTAAAAAAAAAAAAGCTTATTAATTAGTAAAGATGTACTATAATGCCATATCATACAATCATGGAAAGGTTTGGGTTGGAAGGGACCTTAAAGATCATCTAGTTCCAACCCCTCTGCCACGGGCAGGGACACCTTCCACTACACCAGGTTGCTCAAAGTCCTGTCCAACCTGGCCTTGAAACATCTAGGTATGGGGCAGCCCACAACTTCTCTGGGCAGCCTGTTCAGTGCCTCATTGTCCTCATAGTGAAGAATTTCTTCCTTGCATCTAATCTACATCTACCCTCTTTCATTTTAAAGCCATTATCCCTTGTCCTATCACTATGTGCCCTTGTAAAAAGTCCCCTTCCAGCATTCTTGTAGGCCCCATCAGGTACTGGAAGGCTGCTGTAAGGTCTCCCCGCAGCCTTCTCTTCTCCAGGCTGAACAACCCCAACTCTCTCAGCCTGTCTTCATAGGAGAGGTGCTCGCATCATCTTCATGGCCCTCCTCTGGACCGACTCCAACAGGTTCATGTCCTTCTTATGTTGCAGGCCCCAGAAATGAACGCAATACTCCAGGTGGGGTCTCATGAGAGACAAGTCCAAGTAGTTGATGTCAGTTGCTCTTCCTTTATCCACCAATGCTGTAACCCTGTCATGGAAGGCCACCAAATTTGTCAGGCACAATTTGCCTTTAGTGGAAGCCATGTTGGCTGTCACCAATCAACTCCTTATTTTCCATGTACCTTAGCAGAGTTTCCAGGAGGATCTGTTCCATGATCTTGCCAGGCACAGAAGTGAGACAGGCCTGAATTTTCCTAGATCTTCCTTTTTTCCCTTTTTAAAAATGGGGGTTTTGCTTCCCTTTTTCCAGGCAGTGGGAGCTTCACCAGGCTGCCATGACTTCTCAAATATGAATAGTGGCTTAGCAACTTCATCCCCCAGTTCCCTCGGGACCTGTGGAAGCATCTCATCAGGTCCTGTGGACTTGTGCACCTTCAGGTTCCTTAGATGGTCCTGAAACTGATCTCCTCCTACAGTGGGTGGTTCTTCACTCTCCCAGTCCCTGCCTTTGCTTTCTGTGACTTGGGCGGTGCAGCTTGAGCACTTGCTGGTGGAGACTGAGACAAAAAAGGCATTGAATACCTCAGCCTTCTCCATATCCTGGGTAACCAGGTCTCCCGTTTCCTTCTGGATAGGGCCCACATTTTCCCTAGTCTTTCTTTTATCACCAACATACCTATAGAAGCTGTTCTTGGTGCCCTTGACGTGCCTGGCCAGATTTAATTCTGTCAGGGCTTTAGCTTTCCTAACCTGATCCCTGGCTACTTGGACAATTTCTCTGTATTCCTCCCAGGCTATCTGTCCTTGCTCCCGCCCTCTAGGGCTTCCTTTTTTTGGAACAGGAGCTCCTTGTTCATCCACGCAGGCCTCCTGGTGTTTTTCCCTGACTTCCTCTTCATTGGGATGCATCAGTCCTGAGCTTGGAGGAGGTGATCCTTGAATATTAACCCACTTTGTTGGGCCCCTCTTCCCTCTGGGGCTTTATCCCCTGGTACTCTACTACTGGTACCAAGCAGAAACCTGAAGAGGCCAAAGTCTGCTCTCCTGAAGTCCAGGGCAGTAAGCTTGCTGTGTGCCCCCCTCAGTGCCCTAAGGATCTTGACCTCCACCATTTCATGGTCACTGCAGCCAAGGCTGCCCTTGAGCTTCACATTCCTCACCATCCCCTCCTTGTTGGTGAGAAGAAGGTCCAGTATAGCACTTCTCCTTGGCTCCACACCTAGACAGAAGTTTGACTTCCTTTTTCCACCATTTCTCATTCTTTCAGTTTTTCACCTTTCTCTTCACTTGTTCTTTTATCCCCCTTTGGGGGTATTTTGGAAGGTAAACTTTGCAGCCTGTTATATGCTTATTAGAGTGGTGTTACACAAATAGAAGATGAATAGAATTGCACAATGTAAGATCAAACATCGGTGCAGGCAGCACTGACAGGTAACACCTGACCAGATGTTTCCTCTCATGCTAGTGAGGCTTCAGTTCAAGATATGTGGGGCTTTGTAGCCAGGTGCCTGTGCTCCTCTCCAAGGCTATACATTCTCTATCCATTAATCTCTCCTGTCCCTCCTCATTACGAGAGCGTAGATGGCAAATGTTAGAAAATGAATCCATGACTTTGGTAGTAATAATAAACAGCTGATTGTTAATGTGCCCTTCAGACAGTCTCTGTTTCTTGGATTCTGGAAGCACTCAACAAATATGAACGCTGTAAGTCTACCACATTGGGCAACTTGCTTCTTGAGGCCCCTCCAGATAATGTGTTGGAAAAGCCGTAAATATTTTTTCGTTTGGCATGAACATAACAGAAAGCTCCTAGTGACCCTTTATTCTTCCCTTCAAAAAAATATGGCATAGATTAACTGCAGAAACATATGGCTTGTCTGTTCTTATTCCAAAACGATGGGAAATATTGCTGTGGGTATAGTTCATCATTAAAGTAACATTAGGGCTAGGTATATTAAATGTATGAGCTAGATACCGAAGCCTGAGTTTTGATTTTACTGCTTCACCTACTAAAGAAATTAATTTTTTCTTTTGACAGGTGGAGCCAACAGTTCCACTGCAGTTAATGCCGCGTGTGTTTTCTCTCATGGCATTCAGTTCATTGAAAAATACTTTCCTGGTGCATTGTCCCGGTTCACAACCAATTTCGTAATACTCTATGCTTTTCTACCAGGACTTGCCATTATAGCAATTTTGAGCTTCAGTATAAGAGAGAGAATTATTGGCAGGCAATAAAAAAGTAGCAGTGCTAACAATGTCTAATAATACACTTTTAACCTGATTATGGTTGAAGGCTTAAATGGATGGATTTTTGATAGAATTTAAGTGACTATACATAGAGAAACACATTCATCGTCTCACGTTTGTTTTAACTGGATGTTTTCCATCTTGAAAAACAATGTTCTCTGAAGAGTGTGAATGGCTTCCTGCTATTGGTATTCCCACCACACTCCCAAATCAGCCACAATCAACAGTATTACAGGTTTTAAAGGACTTTTCGAATTTAATTTAGTCAGCTGTTCCTGTCAATTTTTAACAATGTATTGCCGGTGCTCTAATCTTTTTCACACTATTTTGTTTTTTAAACCATTACCAGTAAGCAGAGCGGTATAATTGCTAGTAAATCGTGTATTCTAACTCCTGTGCTTTGTTTTGATACCATTTTGGGGATTTGTAGAAACGCAGCAAACCAAATTTGTGCAGAGACAGAATCAAGAAATCACTCCGCTTTAATCTTATGCACGCATCAATGAATACGGAAACTTTAAGCAATATAAAAGTTATCCAACATGGTTTTGTCTTGTAAATGAAGGTAAACCAGAGAAGACAATTATGTTATTTATATCTGTTCCTTCTTATTATTATCAAGTTCTAAATCTTGTTTTGGAAGCACTCTGTGAATTACTAGAACAAATTTTTGTTTGTTAATAAAATGTCAAGTTAGCTAGGGGAAAAATATAAAAGTTGTTTGCTGCTTATTGGAAGCGATGTAGTTTGCATCTTTGGAAATATTCTTGTGGGTTCACTAACATGCCAGAGTCTCTAATTTATCCATTTCATCAATAGCAGTAGCTCTCAAAATTGAAAGCCTAACAGACACAGAATTCTTAAATTTTATAACTAACTTTGCGTGTTCAGTGAAGCAATTGTTTATTACAGAGAGATAGCTAGAGATTTCTTTGAGGAGGTATATTTGTATCTTAAAATTCCATAAAAATATAATTAGTTTAACTGGACAGCTTTGAGATGATGCACTTTGTAACAAAGAATTTGAAATCCTCGAGTTAATTCAAGTTCTCCACTTAGGTGTGAGGCCAAGATTTTTTCCTAATATCTTTATGTATAATATTCTAAGATACGAATATTATATCAGAAAAACATTCAATGAACAAATATGTTAAAAATAACAAATAATTTTACAGAGCTGGAAGATACTACATTAGTTTGTCTCTCCCACTTTTATGTGCATGTAGGGTTGCTCATCAGGGAACATTCTTACTATCTGGTCTGCCAGACATTTTATTCTCCAACAACAAGTCTTAGCTTTCAAGAGACACCTTGGTTTTAATCTAGCTCTCGTCCTGCATATTCTCAAAACACTCAGGCCATCTCATAATAGTGAGGATGTCCATGGACAAAAAGCCGTATCTAGTTTAGGCTAGCATTTCACCAGTATAGGCTGCATGTGAATCAATCATGCTTCCACCACTAACCAAATATCTGCCCGATTGATTAGACTGACTTCCTAGCATTCGAGTATTTGACAGAAACGTCAGCTTCTAAATTCTGTGCAAAGTTACTACAACATTATACTTTGCACGAAATAATTCCTGTACTAAAACTGTATGATACTGAAACAGAAATAAAGCAAACTTCTGAATTTTACATCAGGTTAAACCTGGGTTTAATTCCACTTTATTCTGCCAGTTTTTGTGGAACTATCCTATTCAAATACATCAAATAATGAGGCAAATATATTCTTAAGCTCTGCTTCTGAATTATATACACAAGGAACTAGGAAAAGAATGCCTAGCATACCTTACTATGCAGTTTCATATTTTGGGTGTGAAAACTTGTTTAAATTTAAGTAATTTTGTAAATGTTAAACTGAAGACACCGAGAGCAGTTCATCAGTCAGGGTCAAAATCCATTTCTTTCCAGGATTTAGAGGCATTTCTTTTGTATTGTTCAAGTTCCTAAAACAGAAACATACATAATATTAATCTAATCTCATTTTTAAAAGCAGTAAGATACATACATTAGCCACCTAAACTTTTAAAGCATGTGCAAACATTTTTCACTGTAGAAAAAATGCCATAGTTTTTTTTATTTTAAACAAAATTATACCAAAAGTGCTATACATTTTGCCACATTTGCTCTCACATAGGGACATAGATTTTATTTATTTATTTATTTATTTAGGCTTAGATACTTGCTTTCTAGGGTAAAAGAAATTTTGGGTAGGGTCTTAGACATACAATTTGAGAAACCAGGCTCCCTATGAACATACAGAACTGTAACACTACCTGTGTTTTAAAAACAGAAATCAGCATTACCCAACAGGAAGTCAGGGCCTTTCAAGAAGCCAAATGGATTGCTAATTCCTTAAGATTACAGAAAAGAATCTAGAAAAACAAAGCCTACTTTCTTTCTTCTTTTTTTTTTTTTTTTTTTTAAGCACAGGACTGAAATGAGTATCTGTAAGCTTGTACGTCATCAGTGGTGATAATTTAGAGAGCTACCAGTGGACCTTAGAAACACCTGCAGAACACAGCCTTGTCCAGAAAGCAGTAAGCAGAAATATATTTACAGGAATGCAGTGGGTGTTTGGGAGAGGTACCACATCTATTCAGTCTATGGTACTGGATATTTGTGGAAGTATTATTCATCATTGCTTGATTTTTTTCAGGAAGTGTATTACTCATGACAGACAACGATACCATGCTTTCCCTTTTGGGTTTTATTTATTTTTCAGTTAGTAGTTAAAATATTTTTTCAGGCACTACTGTTTAGTAGATTGAAAATTTAGCATCTGTGTGTGAAAATAAAATGCAAACCCAATGTGGTAATTAAAATTATGCATCTTCTAGACAGTAATTAGATTATTAAAAGCAAACAGAGGCTCAAATTGCGGAGACATAAATAAAGCGAATTAGGTATGAAAGATGAGGCAATCTACATTATGCTGTATTTGACATCAGCTGAGTACTAGCATGGTAGACAAATGACCTTGTTTCAGTCAAAAGTGCTACTGGGAATTATGAAGCCCATAATAAAAGGTTCTAGTAACATCACCAAACAACAATTTCATCTTCTGAATTTTATGTAGTGGTGCCTATTGTCAGGAATTATTTCTCTAGATTTTTAGGCAAAAATTATTTAGAAAGCACTGAAATTGCTTTTCATTCATTTAAGAATACAAAGGCTTCCAACATATTTGCAGGAAGATGATACTCTAATGAGGTACTGTTAGATAGACCTAACCATGTACTGCTTACAATACAAAAAAAATCAGCGTATCTTACTTAGATCAGGAAAAGAGGTGGACATAAACCAGTGATTAGTATAAATGTAGCGAAGACCCTCAAAAGTGGGCATGTGTTCTATATGATTGCTATTCTGATTTTAAAAGAAGAGACTTAACAGAGTAAGGGAGGCTTCACTGATACCAGAACTGACAAAAATAACAAAATTCACACGTGGTGAATTTAACGGAAGTATTAATTCTCAATCCAGAGCACTGAGGGAAAAAGAAGACAATAAAGGGCAGAGCAACAAAGAAATCATCATCACCTAAGAATTGTATGGAAATAATAATGGAATTTTCCCTCTCTCAGGAAATAACTTCAGCAGCTTTGTCATCAGGGCAAAATTTTCTGAGAGCACCACAGATTTATGAGCAGTAAGAAGATTTTTAACTAGTGCATATTCTTCATGATGCTTGCAGGAGTCTGGTTTTACAGTTAAGTAACTCACATAGATGACTGACACAGCACACATTGTGTCTAGTCTAAATCTAGTAAGTTGCATTATTAAATACAACTCTAGTACTACTGAACTGTTCTATCTCTAAGCCAGTCTTTACTCAGTATTTTCACTCCCTCATTATTAATATAAAGTAATTATGATCTCGGAACATACCGAACTGTTGGAGTCTTGCCAACAGTTAGGAATAGAAAGACTACTGTGATATTTTAAGGAGCACATGTAACCTGATTTATGCTAAGTAAATAATTTCAATTCTAACACCTTTCTCAAACGCTACAGGAAGAGGAAAATTAGACAATGAAGTTTTACATATAACGACAATGCTCTGGGGGTCATGTCTACAGGTGTTGCCTAAATAATTAGCCTTACAGATTTATCATCTGACTAAACTGTTTCAAGAAGGAGGCAGGTAATTTAGCAGAATTTATTTTGCTGCAATTTTAGCTAGCTAGAAGGCAATTCAGTGTGAAGGCAATTCAAAACAATACAGAAATGCAAAGTATCAAAACCACAGCATATATTAAAACTGCATAGGTATTCTACTACATACAGAACAAAATTATAAATATTTATTTTGGAGACATAACTAGGTAAGACCAACATTCAAACAATGAGAAATGAAAGAAAAGGGATTAAATGGGAGAATATCTACAAAAAATAGCCTTTAACAAATTCAGTGATTCAGGAGGAAAAATGCTGTCAGGAAAGTACACTTCCTTAGTTTTAATGTAAAACAGAAAGTAAAATAAATCCTAGTAAGTCAGCAATGTAATGGAAAAATCTTTCAAATACAGCTTAAAGATCACTCCAGAGTCCCTTTTGAAAAAGGGTACCTTCCTGCTTATAAGGTCCTATACTACAAACATAAGCAGAATTCTGGACTACACTGTAACTATACAACCAGCTAAAGCAATCCTCTTTCCAAACTGACAGAAGATCCTATGAAAGAATATCTCTCAAAGTACACCAAAATGTTCACGCTAGCATTATGCTTCCTTTGTTTTCTGGGTACCAAGCATAGGGGGCACAGATCAGATTTACAAAGAATTAACAATTGCAATTTAAATACGCTTTCAAAGTGCTCTGAGTGCTTTAAACATTATTAGTGCTAGCAGCTTGTCCTAGATGTCTCAACATTGGCATAAAGTGGATTTTAAAATTTTTTTTTTAACCTTAATGCTTCTGTGTTTCTATAAATTCTTCATCTGTCAAATGGGGAAGATCTCACCTAATCTCATAAAGGGATTGAGAAGAAAGACTTAACTGATGTTTGTGAGGCACTCAGCTAAGATAACATTACCACACATTCTCAGAGAAAAAAAAAATTAATACTTTTGTGTTCATTGAAGTGTCTGAATGGCAGGTTGAGAAATAAGGTACACAAAGAATAAGGATGATGAAAAGAAATGCTGAACAATTGAATCGAGACATCAGCAAAATAGTATATGATCATATAATTAAAGACAATACTGTAATGTCTACAAACAAGGAGCAAAAATTAAGATTGTAGGAAAAGCTTTAATTGTTGCATTTCCTCAGTTCTGAGGGACTGGCATGACTTTAACTTTCTTTTTCATGCAGTTTCTTACTGAACGTGCCCTCAACCTGGAACATGGCGAAAATAACCAAGTACTGAAACAAGGATTAAAAATCTTAAGCACCTAAACTTCAGTAGGAAATTTAATAACAGTGCTCTAATAATGCTCTTTAAATTGGTTTAAAAAAAAAAAACAACAAAACTTTTTTACCCATTTGGACATGCTTTCATGTGAAAACAAGAAAGCTTATTTTTGGCAGCTGAGTAAACATTCTAAATAATTTTTTCTCCGCAATATGGAGACAAGCACTTCTCCTCCTCTGAAGAAAATGAAAGACGCTACTGCTCTGTTGCCCATGTTAAGGTGCCTGTCGCGCTTCTCTGCCCAGTAACACTGGTCTGACCATGGAGGTTCATCACACAATATGTAATGTTCTATTTTGTTGAATGAGATTGAAATTGTCCTGAAGTTCGGCAATACAGTCATGCCAGAGAAGTATGCTGAAAAAATACAGCGCTCATTCTGTTGGCCAATTCAGTCTCAGACAGCTGCAGATCTGATGCCAAGGTGACTTTTAGTTGTGAGTGACATGGTTAATTAGGTTAGTCGTATTTTAGGGGAAATAAGACTATGCTGCTTTGCAAGATGTTAGAGCCTCCCCTTCTTTTGTTTATGACTTGTTAAAGTCTTAACAGTTACAGGCCTGTTAGTTGAGATCTGCTTCCATTACTGCTTGTGAGCGAACAACAAATGGCACCAGGCATCTAAGGGTTTTTTTTTTTCCTCTTTAAGTATACTTTATGACATTAGGCTTCAGCTAAAACTGGCACTGATCCCTAATGTAATACCTTTGTGTAACAAGGACCAGTCAGTGTGAACTTTGGAATTGCGTGACACTGACTTCTTAAGTACCTGATCAGGAGGCTATCCAATCCTTTGTGCTCAAGGTTAGCTTTATCATTCGCTTCAATGAGTGAAGCTGCAGTCAAATGTCCAGATGAAAAAGGTCCAAGCACCTACTTTGAGTATTAGCAGTACAAGACGTAACAGGATAGCTAAAGACCCAAAACAAACAAAAACCTTCAAAAAGACATCTTCGAATACTCACCTGTGTGGTAGAGAGCATTTCTAAAGGGGACAGAGCAGACACCCCCATGTGCCATCTCTGCCACAGACATTTAGCCGGAACTAAGGAACAAGACTTTCATGCACTCCTAGGTGCTCAGAGATGCAGGTGCTGTATGTGCAGCTCTAACTGACAATATTACTTTAAAAGATCTCACTCTTATTCAAGTTATGTGTGTACCTAAGATGAAATTAAGATGACTTTAAAGCATCAAAAGCCAAAAAGCTAGCAGAGAAGAAATGGATGGCAAGTTTGCCATCTTGTTTATGTTTTATGTGGGCTGTAAGAAGAGTTAACAGCAAACCACCCAGTTAAGGCCTAAGACATATGCAAAATTAATGTTGTCCTTGACTACTGAAAGCCCTGCAAAGAGCACAGAATTCCAGTCATTCCTGGAGAGAATCTGCTAGTTAAGAAATACCTTAAAAATGTAAATTCCAAAAAGGTCCCTGGTGCTGTTTTCTCTCTCAGAGCTTAACTCCAGAGAATAAAAGAGCAGCGAACAATTGCAACAGCAGTATTTGATATAAACCTGCACGTTCTACATCTGTGGGGTGAGAACTAGAAAAAGAATTCTGGAAAGACGTAGTTGAGGAAGAAGGATGTGCTCTGTCTTGAACAAAGTTACAGTGAGGAAAAGACAGCCTCAGCAAGCTTTCCAGGGCAAACAGGTCTCGAGAGGGAGTGGTACGTCTCATAGTTAACTCTGAAAATATTAAGGAGGTAAAATAATCTGGTCTAAAAGAAAACACTCTTGTGACAGAATGCTGATGAGCTGGACTCTTAGCTGCTACAGCCAAAAAGCGTATCAGATAAATACTAGCTGACAGCTAGTACATGGGTGTGAGCCAGGTACTTTCTCGTGTCTGTACTTTTTTAAAAAAACTCTTTTCTAATTTTATACTCGAGAACTTAACCTTTTATTCTGCTAAAGTGTACAAACCCTTCAACCAAGGTTACAACGTTGGAAATTGCTGGAATAGGAACGTATTATCCAAAGTACAAGGATCCACTTTGAGACTGGCTGCATCAAGTGCTAGGACACGAAAAAGGTTCCTCACAGAGGAATAGCTCTGATTTCATTAACCTTTATATTGCCACAGTTATCTGTAAATCTATTACAGTATTATCGAGCAGTCCTGCCCAAGAATTTGAGCAACCTCATCTAGTTAGCGGTGTCCCTGCTCACTGCAGGGGGATTGCTCTAGATAACCCCTAGGGATCCCTTCCAACCCAAGCCATTCTATGATTCTAAGATTGCAGTGTCAGTCAGGTATGCTAATTCTTCTACCAGACTCAGTGACAGGGGCTATATTTTGTTTCTGTTGCTATGTTTTTCTGTTTATTTTTCATTTAAAGCTTATCTTTGCGATAAACAAGCAAGCTGGTTATCACCTAGAGTCCAAAGTGGCATATTAATTAACCGAAAGTAACCGAGAAAAAATGATAACCTGCACTTAAATGATTTTAAAATATACCCTGTCGTCATATGAAACTTTAATTTTGCATTGTCCCATGATTTCATTAGCAACATGTTGTATATTTAACATCTTAATATACTGTTCCTCCTACACAATAGATATCATGAGACTATAAAGAATGCCCGCCTTATGATGCATTTAAAGTGTTGCTTTAAAAATAGGATTTTTGTGCTGCTTTTCATATAACTGGGAAATCCAAAGACACTTCAAGACTCACTACAACTACAGAGTTCTTTTCTTTTAGATGTATATTGCTATCTTGGTGCATTGCAAATTGAATGAAATTTTTGGAGTATAAAACATTTTAATAATGTGCAAATAATCTTGTAATAATTGAACTCCACGACAGAGAAGTTTAGGAAATAGCTGCAGATAACAAAAGTAATTTTCTCTTTAATGCTCAAATTACTTGTAGTAGTCCAACTAAAAGGAGCTACACTGGTTTGCAATGCCCTTGAACAGATTAAGATTCTAAAAGCCTGTTTCTTTTGTTTAAAAACAGAAAATTAATAATTTCCTATATGATTTAATCAATGCATACCAGTATCTTCTTTTGCAAGACATAAGTATTATCTAAAAATAACAAACCTAGTACACCATATAGTTATTTTGAGATACATAGATATACTGAGTATGAGATTATATTATAAATTCCAAAAGCAATGTGCTTTACAAATTTTAATGATTTCTAAGACTGCTCTTGATGTAACAGAAATTCAGAACTGATGCCTGCATTAACAGGATATTACAGGTAATGTGCAAGTTCAAAGACTGCAGGGCATTCTTGAAATTGCTTTATTCTTTTACATTATTAATGTATTTCTTTGGATCAGGTAACTACAGGTTTACTGCCTTATGCAATCTAACTAAACTCTACAAAAACATGATAGCAGCAATAATCTAGTAGTTTAGCTTTCTTTTAACAAGCATGCAAAAAGATGAATTTGCCATGGTATTTTAGGGTTAGCTGAGATTAACTGCAGAGCAATTCAATAAAACTGCCTTTCATCTTAAGGGTGCAGGTCTGTAAAAGCATGCAAGATCTAGATTGGTACAATCCATGATCTTAAGCACTGATCGAAAAACCTCCTTTAACCCCCGTAACTCGGTCCACAAAGAAGTTAAATGGCGTACACGTAGCCCACATAAAACCTGTGAGAATAGGGTGGAATGTTTCTCAGTCACTCTAGCAAAGAATTTTCTCTGTGTGAAACAAATGAATCTACATGAAATAAAGTTTCCAGAGTAAGTATGTGATACTTCTTCCAAACAAAGAAAAATACACAAATCTTGGATGGATTTTAACAGACCCCTACCTATGATATTGATGAAGACTATATACAGTATTTCTACTCCCATGAGGTTATACACTGGTAGCTATAAGGAAACATTGTAACCTTTGTCTAGTTTGCCACACGATTTTTCTACGAAATTAATTCACCACAAACGTAAGGAAATGCAGAAACACTTCAAAATTAATACGCAAAAAAAAAAAAAAAAAAAAAAAAAAAAGAGAAAAAGAGACCCTTTCCCCCCTAAAGGTCTTTCCTGGAATTCAGAGGTTAAGCCAAGTATCACTATGTGGAATAATTCTGTTCACTCTCTTTAAGATAAAACATACATAGCCTGGAAACTCGAGTCAGAAATGTTACCATCTCAGTACCTTTCCAGTTTAAATAAGTTTTGCAGGTGGAAGACAAAAATAAAAAAGTAAACAGCCCCCACCCCAAACCTTGATACCACTCCCTAGACTTTCTGCTAGTCAACACCCAAGTGAGAGTACAGGGTGCAGAAATTAGGAAATCACTGCCAAGAAAGCTTCACAGCTTTGCTTCAATATTATTTTAGTGAAATAATTCTGGAAGCAAGCTAGAGGGAAAATTTGAGTTACTCATTTCTAAAGAAACCATAGAGCCAAAACTTTGAGATCTAACAGTGTTCCACCTGCTTAATGTCTGCCAATGGAAAAAGCCCACCCTGAACTACTAAGTTGAAAAATAAAGTTGAAGTTATTTAGAGACAAAAAGGGGCCTATGAGTATATTCTACAATTAATTCAGCAGTGATGGTGGTTCTGGAATACCTGACTGTGAACAGCAACTGGAGAACAACCACACACCTGGTTTTTCTGAGCTCTCATGACATCAACTTCATACTCAGCGTATTGTAAATCCTGTGCAGGGTCCTTGGTATCTTGTAAATCACAGAAAGTCTAAAAGAAGAATTATAAAAACCCAAATGATAAAATTTATCTTCGGTTCTTTTAACAAGAAAATGCCACTCTGTAGATCTAATGGAAGTATTTTGCTTTTAATACAAATGTATTAAAATCCTGCATTTATGGAAGAATTCTGTGCTATAGGACATGGATAAAATATACTATATATTATCTTAGACTGGTAAAATGATGAGAAAGGAATAGTGCGGTTAGACCTTAAAGGAAAGAAGACATCCTTATTTGGTAATTGTTTATTATTCTCTCCTCAAAATGAAAATATCCTTTCTGGCCCATGACATTTGGGTTAAGGTTGCTCTTGCTAGAGCATTTAACCCTCAAGACTAGAATTCAGTTCTGATTACCAGAAGCATTACTTCAATATCTGAGAAATTACTATCTTTTTGCCAAACACTTGAAATTTCATTTACTAACCTTGAGGGAAATAAGTTTAATTGCAAAGAAGCAAATACACTAAAAGAAAGAAACACTATCAAATAAGAATTTAAAAACCAAAAATGTTGTCCTGTGGATTTCACCTCACTTATAACAAATGGAAAGTAGCAGTAAGTCAATCATACAAATGATGGAATAAAGTAAAGCAGAATTGTAATTATTATTAGATGAGGTGATGGAAGAAGAAATTTGCAATGCATAAAACCAGCTTTGAAGTTTAAAGCGTATTTTGGAACCAAAACAGAAGACTGGGAATCTACTTCACAAATCTTCTTTAATTAGACTGATACCTTAGAACACTGATGGAGTTTGCAAGATGAGCAATGTATTCGTTTCTCTAGCTGTTTCAAGGCGAGTTCAGGAGTTACAGCACAGGGTTTGGGGAAGGTTTGTTTATTGTGTTTTAAAAGGCTATGAGCAAAAGTTACATGAAAAATAACAGTCCTGCATAGTTTTTGAAAAGTAAAGGTTAGTCTCTATCATGTTGGGGCATACTGTATTGAGAACGGCATCTTAGTAATAATTTTTTCTGGTCACAAACCACCTGAAATAATTTATAGACTTTGATATGGAGCAGTCAAGTGAGTGGGAAAGGGTGAATTCAGACTCCTCCTCACCAAGAATGGAGACCCGTAGACTGAAAACTAGAGAAAGCCCGGTTTGCGCACCACAACTTGAGGCACAGTTTCATAGCCCTGACTGACTTCCTTGCCTGCCCAGGTAAGCTGCAGGGCAGGAAATGGACAGGGATAAAGAACTGTGATACAGTCCTGTACATGAGGAGAAAGCAGCGGCCTGTATTTGCTCAGGTCAAATAGAAAAGAATTTTGATTTCCTAAAAACAGAAATTACTTTTATTGAAAAGAATTATTTGGGTGTTCACCTCTTGGGGCCAGAAATTTCTGAAATATGTGCTAGATCTATCACTACATAGGTGCCAAGGGTTTCTAATTCCCTTGCAAATCCAAACACTTCCTATAGCAAAATGACAGATTTTGGGAAGGAATTCTTAACACACTCATCTCACGCAAAGCCTCATGCCCTAGGAGAACAAGGATCAGTAGTAGCTTGCTACAGCCAGGAAGAGCTTGGAACATCGCAGTCACTTGGTTGAGGCATTAGGGGATATGTCACCTTATAAAATTCCCAAAACGTTGAGTATAGCTTGTCTCTCAATGTAACGAAAGGCAATGGTATAACTTCGGAAAAAAAAGAGAGGGTTACGTCAGTACTTTCATTATTACTAAATATAGGAAAGTGACTGAAAATGCAGAAGCTAATAAAGCACCACTGCATACAAGTCTGTATCTTTTAAAAATGTATGAATTAAAGAAGTTGGAAGAAACAACTGCATTCCAGTGACTGGACTTGAAAGACAAAAACTAGTACTGATATTACTACTGTTCTATGAGAAAAGAAGCTGTGCAGCAGACATGTAAATACCTACATTGGGAGGAAATGTTTTCTCAAATACTTTTTTCCACAGTTCCAACGGTGTGTTTGCACGCATCTTTCCAATATCACTATCAGAGGCAGGTGGTGGTCCTAAGGATTACAGCACAGCGCAAAGTCATACAAGTATGTTGTCATAGCAACATAAATTATCAAAGCATTTTGGATAACGATCCATCTAATTTAGTATTTTAGCTTCTACAGTGACAAGCTGCAACAAGTTTGAAAAAAAATTCATCTGCTACCATGAAACAGGCTTGGTGGTATTGTATAGTACATTTTCTTTCAGAGCTAAGTTTGTTGATACTTTACTAGTTGAATCAGTCCCAATGCTTTATTAAACTACCCAACAAAACTGCACAAAAAATTCTCAATAATATAAATACTGAATAGTAATTTTAAACTTTCGAAGCCATTTCATTCAATAATCTGTTAAAACTGATGCTGATGTGCTATAATTTATTTTTTATTTACTTAATTTTTTTTTTCCTCATTTTCAAAAACAAGCGACAAACACTATGAACAGGAACTGTCCTAACCTATTTGGCTCAGCGAATCCAGGCCTGCTGGTATGAACAGAGGTTTGCTGTGATCCACTGATACAGACTTGCTAAAAAGAAAAAAGAAAATGTATCAAGTGAGCATTTAGCATCAACAAAAAATGGCATTATTCTAGCCAAGACTAGACTCTTATTGGCCTTTGCGTATAAATACACATAAATAAAAATCTACTCAATTCTAGTGGTGACCACATTTGTAATCCATCAGTTTGGGGATGAAAAAAAAAGGAGTTATCACTGTCCTGTGCAGAGACAGGCAGCTGAGACACAGGAGTAGAAGTCCATGAACAGGAATCTTGCAGAGATCAGAGATCATTCTTAAGAAAAAAAAAAATGTTTGGGTGATGTTACCTTTTGTCATAGCCAAATGCCAAGTGATTAATAAGAACACGGGCTTTTTTTTCAGATTTACTGGTAAACTAAATGAATCAAAAAACAAAATACACATTATGATCGTCTATCATAGCAATATTACGTTATGTTATCTGCATAGAGGATTTCAGACAGAGCCTGGCTGATTCCTGACCTCAATAAATTTGGCATATGTGCACTGAATTCACTAGAATAAAAATCTCACCCTCCCTTTCCAAAACATGAATGTTTTTGTCACTGAATATATATATATATCTATCTATATATCTATATATCAAGAAAGATAGCATAAAGATTAAAGAATAAATTTTAAAATATTGATTCACAACTTCTGAAGTATGCACACGGGGAGACAATTTTTTTGCCCAAGACTATTGAGTTATTAAGATTCTAAATGACATTAAAAATTATCCAGAATGCCGTAACATTTAGAAATGTAATTAATAACTAAAATTGTTCAAACATCATAAAAGCAGCTTGATAGTGGCAGAAGTAATACAGATTTATCAGAAAGCAGCTCCCAGAATATCTGCTCAAACAGCATGCTTATTCTGTCTAAGGGCTTTTGTATCCTAACAGATTCTTGTCTTTGAGAAAGAAGTGGAAAATTAAGTTTCTCCCACTCATTTCAATGGAAATCAGGATTTAGCAGTCAAAGAGTTTTAGGCTCTTAGTTCTTCATTTTTAGTTACAATAATGCTCAGATACTTAAAAAAAGAAATTAGATCAAGACAGTTGTATTCTCAGTTAACAAAAGATGAATCCATGTGTCAAAGTACAAAAGCTGTACAATTTTACATGGATGCAAAAGGACATGCTGTGATTATAACAATTTAAAGCAAACATAAGTTTGGTAATCAAAATAAACCACTATTAAACATTATTTGTTACTTAAATGATACTGATGGTTGAATGGATGGATGAAATTATGGTTGATATAGTTAGAACCATCTTTTGATGTGGAGAGAGCCCAAGAGGCAGTCTTATGAGCATGCGTGTTTCTGCCTTTACTTGGGAGATGATCGGCCAAATTCAAAATCAGTTTATATACCCACATAAATACTTCATTGTCCTTATAGTTGGCAGTTCCTACTCGTTTCTGTAAAAAAACCCTGCCTTTATTCTTCAGCGCTGTACGTGTGATAATCTGGTACGCTTAAACTGCTGTGAAGACAAGCCCTTAGTTCTAAGTTTTTAAATTTACCAAAGCCAGGTCACTAGATGCAAGTTCATGCTTCTACTAAATTCTCTAATTCTGTCTAGGGAGAGCACTTTTTCCCAGTCCTCCTTTCTTGTAGCAAAAAATCTTTGCCAGACGTGCAGGAAACTCAATACAGAAACTGAGGTGGCTAACAGATAACTATTTTTATTTAGTTTTTGCCGATCCTGGGAATTACATAGTTTGTTTGTTCATAAGGTGTAATCCATCCATCCCCTGCCAAAACCTGTAACCCATTTGACAGATTAGCTCATGAAGCAAGCTACTGTAAAACCAATTAAATCCCATTTTTTCTAGGACTTTTACATTTCTATTTTTTTAAATACTGTTTTGTAACACAAATATTGCTCATCTTCTCTATCCTTAGTTAGAAAGTGAATATACACACCACTAATGATGCTCCATAATAATGTGAAACAAATCGAAGCGTCTTGCTTATTATTTTCCTCATTTCAGAGTCAAACTCCTGAAAAAGTTGATATTTGAACATATACGTAAGAAACAAAAAACAAAATATTACAGCTAGAACTTTTCATTTTTTGTATAAACTGCAGTGCACTCAGGCTACAATATATGAGGCTTTCAGCTGTCAGCGTAATTATATCTTAAGACAGAATCAGTAACAGCCTACTCTGAAAAGAAATGTCACAATTTCCCTGTTTCTTTTTCACAGAGGGAGCCTAATTCAGGCAATATATTAGTCCAGAAAAAAAAGTTTCTTAATTGGGAATGTGTATTCAATTTTCAATTAATTTATTTCACTTTGTTTTAAATTAAATAAAATGCCTACTAGAAGAATAATGTTTTTTTTATTTTTGTGAAAATATTTAATTTTCAGTAAACCCTTGGGTATATGCTTTCTAAATTCTAATACCTGCAAGATTTGAAGGGTGCATAAAAATATGTTTTCATCAATGTTTCTTTACAGTAAAATCATACAGATGGCCTTCCCTTGATAAAGTGGACAAAAACCTGGTCCCAGTGAAGCCTGTGGGAGTCTGTCCATAGATCCCAATGGAATCAGGCTGTTACTCCGTGCTTGTTACATGAGAGTCACTAATTTTTAAAGAGGTCATGGCTCAGCATAAAGCCTCAGTATGAAGGAAGGCACAGTACCTTATTAATAAGGAATTAAGTGGCTCAAAGAGTCAGCCAAGTAGCAAGGCACTATGTAGTCATCCAGAGAAGCACAGGCTGCCAGCACGGCAGCTAAAAATCAAACATACTGTTCTAGTTTCTCATGATCAAGTGCTGCTTGAAAATCGAGTATGCATTTGTTTGGATTTTTACCATCCTGGGAGAGAATCCAGCTGTACTATGACATTTCTTTCCTCTCTCCCCTAAAAGATTCAATTACTCACTTGTCTCTAAAAACTTAAGAAATATTTAAAAAAAAAAAAAAAAAAAAAAGATAGTTTAGTTCGTGCTGCCACAACTACCAAAAGTCTGACCAGCTGGCTTCAGAGACGCCCTTCTTTCACTGCCATAAATTTAGAGCTGCTGTCAGAAGGGACACATAGACTTCTCTCATTATAAAAGAAAGTCATAAATGTGATGTTTTCTTGCTTCACTCTTTGGTCTGCAACTTAGATCTCAACATTTTCCAAGTACATATGAAAACCCACCAGTTTGGGAGTGTTTTGTGAAGGAATGACAGTATGCCTTCTGTAATGCTGTTGGATGGAAAGATTTTTTTGTGGTAGAAGGCTGACTGGCTGTACTTTTGTTCAAATGATTACTATTATATTACCAAGATTTTAGTATACAGAATCTTCACCAGGAATCTTTCCATTATTTAAAAAAAAAAATATTAAGTGTTACTTACATGAAAAATGTCGTATTTGCTTCCAATTATCACCAAGGGTATTGGAAAAGGGTCAACTAATTCATAATCCTGTTAAACATATATGACAGTTAAGCAGTGTAAACAAACTGTAAGAGATTGCAACTGTTAAAACAACTGAAAGGGGTTAAAATTAATTCACAGAAGACAAGCTCTATTTTTTCAAAACCTTAAGTTAGACGAATAAACTTCAATGCAATATCCATACCATGTTCTACAATTTTCTCCACAAATGGTCAGGAAATAATCCCTCTGAGCAGTCAGAAAATTTACTGACATAAAAGGGCTTTTACACTATATACTCCAGCTCCAACATTAGGTGGAAAGGGAAAAGAGGAAAAACCTTACATATTCACAGAACAACTGCCAGACAGGATTAGTAGAACTGGCTTTTTGACACATTCCCCTCTTTGCATCATGTCCAAAGTAACACAGACAAAAGCTGAAGAAAATTAAGCTGAATTATTTGCTTGTGTCATAGATTTGTCTTCCCTGCATCACATTTTCCAAACTCATAAAAAATATTCAACGTGACTTTCAAATATTTGATATTAGCAGAAAGAAGAAATGCCACCTAATGACCGTGAAGATGCAAATCAATACCAATGGACAAAAACAGCTCCAGGGGTGTAGATTTAGCTGTTTAATAGCTAACTTTTGGTAAGAGTTTTAATAAGTAGAGTACAATAATTCTCAAGTTATCTGCAAGGTTTTCCCATAGTCCATATGAAATGAGACAATCCCCTCGTGTTCATGCAAGTATTTAGTCAAGCTGCTTTGGTTGCAGCAGAGTGGAAGAGATGTGTTGAAGCAGGGGTTGACCTGACTGTTCCCTTCTAAAACCGGTTCTTTCACATATAGGTTAAGTGACAGTCAGGTTTAGCATGAAGCTGCACATACTGAACATCCTCTACACTGAGAGGAAAAATAATGGCTTCACTCATACCATCAAGGCAAAAGCTTTGAGCAAAATTATCGTAACTTAAAACTGGGCGTATAGAATATAGAACTGAAAAAAAATAGTTTTAGTTTCTTAACTAAGAAAAAATTAATTCAGGATAACATCAGAAACATGAAAACTGGCACACTGAACCCAATTCATCTTTTGACCACGGAACTAATATTTGACTATGGACTACTTCAGGTGCATCCAGCCTTTTTAAACAAGGTCTGCACTTGATATACTTTATCATCAGATCCAATAATTCTTTATCCAGGCCAATGTAATACATCTAATCCTTAAAATACCTCCAAGAACCTCATCAATTCCTGTTTATCATAAAAATATGTTTAGCTAAAAGGCAAATGAAAATCTGAGTAAACTGTCATTTACTTTGACTACAAAAGATAGCATTTCCTCCCACAAAATTGGCATGATTTTTCTTGAACAATGATGGAAGTAGAAAAAGAACCAAGGAGTAACATAACATTTTATTTGCATCCTTTCTGGTTTTGATAATGAAGGCTAAATAGAAATTCTAGTTTAGGAGGTATAACTGTGTTCCCTACAGGGCAAGTATAACAAGTCTTCTCTTCTTAACAACTAATGGCATTATCTATCTATCTATCTATCTATCTCCCACCTGGCAGTTGTTCTGTGAATACATGAGGTTTTCTGGTATGTCAGGTTTACATATAGGGGCTTACATTGTGGTCATGAGCAATGGCATTATCTATCTATCTATCTATCTATCTATCTCCCACCCGGCAGTTGTTCTGTGAATACATGAGGTTTTCTAATATGTCAGGTTTACATATAGGGGCTTACATGGTGGTCATGATTTACTGCCAAGAGTGCTTGTAGGCATTTCTTTTTGTGAATTACCTTCCCTAAAAATAAGAAACAAAATCATAATCCAGCAGACCTCAAACCCTATACTCTGAATCTACTGAGTGTTGCATGTGTTGCTTTCTCATAAACTTTAAGTTACTTTTAAATTTTTGAGCTATATAAGCATTTGCTGTCTTGGAACATTTTATAGAAGTTACAGTAACTAGATTTATGTGCCAAGTCTTTGAATTGTTGCATACTTATTTATGCATTATATACACACAACATTTGCAGAGGTTTAATGTACAATTACTTTTCATTTCTATTGCGCATAATCTAGTTTAGCTTTTCCAGAGATTTAGTTAGCAATTATGTTTAAAGGACTGATGTTAACATTTCTGAAACTTTATAATTTAATTAGTTGTCAGATTATCAAAAGGCATTGAGTTTGTGATAGACATTTAAATAAATGCAAAGTATATAGTCATGTTGATGGCTGTTATAACTATATTCTTTGCTTAAATTTGTACCTTCAGCTAGTCTCTTGCTAGATGACTTTTGTACATTCTAGTTTTCATCTTCATTTTAAAAAGATGAGGGGGGAAAAAAAGCAAACTGCTACTCTAAAACTATTTCTTTTGATTGGTGTAACATGCCATAACAATCACATTAGATATCTAACAAAAAGATATAAGAAACCTTCTTTCCTTGTTTCTGCTCTTATTGAATTTTTATTAAATTGCTATAATTTTCCAGTGAACAGGTTCATCTACATCAAATGGATTTTCAGTCATGCATAAAAATCTAAAAGAGTTGTTTATGATTTTCAAAAGCATTATCTTTAACTGTATAAAGGCCTGTGACATCTGGAGAAAATATTAGAAGTAACTTACTGGATGATCCCTCTGCAGATTGTTCCGCATCCTCTGTTTAATTTCAGTAGCTACTTCGGGATCTGTCTTTTCTAGTTTGGTTAAAATTTTGTTCACGTGGTTCCTGGTGACCTGCAGAAGTTTCTCCATAGTAGTCCAGAGTTCATTAGGTCTGGACAGATCCAATACAAGAACTACAGCAAATGACCTATTAAAAAGGCATTATTTGGTCAAATCTTTAGCGCATGAGACAATCAACATTGTCATATACAACCATACCTGTAGTACAAACGTCGAAAGCAACAAATGTGAAACTACAAATGCTAAGATAGAATTAAATGTGACAGCAAGGGAAGATGGCTTTTAAGGATACTCTGAGCTCTGAAAAAACCTCTCCCTTGTCTCTTGTTCAGAACCATTACTTTGGCAACTTCCCATCAGAGGCTTTAGGGGGATTGTATATATCAAACTTTGTTTCTGGAGACTTTGTTTCTAAGCAGTAATATATGCAAATAACTCAAGCCCATTTTGCTCCTTTTTCCTGTATGACTGGGCACTTCTACCATCATGTATCCCTGCCATCTCTTAACTCTACAATCCCAGATGAAGCAATGTTACCAAAGGGTTAGGATCTTTCCTAACCATTAATGTATTAGAAAGTTCTATACTTCCATTATTATTTTGCAACATGAGATGGAAAAAACCCCATTAAGGGCAATATTCTGTGCCATGGACTGTGCCAATTAGCTGGAAGCTCAAATGGGTGTATGAGAAGGTCTTCTGAAAGATAAACGTAAGAAGTCAGAGTACTCGGGACATAGTTCGCAATTACCAGGCTTTTTAAAGGTGGATTATGATGAGAAATGTTTGACTCCTCTCCTTCTAAAACCCTGCCTCCCAAAACTCTAACTCCATTGAAGTGCAACTGTAAAGAACATCGTAAATGCAGCCACTTGAATGGATGCAATCATCCTTTCACATTCCATCCTGACTTGAAAAGGGGGATTCCAGACCACAGCGTGTAAGAAAGACTGCAGAACAAAGTGAATGTCCAATTTCACTTTAAAATGCTGTGGGGAAAAAAATCTGGTGAAAATTCTCTTGGTGAAACTAGATACAGTTCATGGAACTTTTAAATAAGCAAATTGCTTGACTACAGACAGATGAGAAAACCAGTAAAAAGCACTTAAATTGAAATGATAGTATTTTTGACCAGCATGTTAAAATGTTGCCTTATGAACAGAACAATGTTGCTATCCCATCAAAGAATCATCCACATCAGAAGATTCCGTATCAGAAAAAAGGGAAGAAAAGACTGATGGAGGTGGAGCTCAGTTAAGTTAATTTAGGCAATAGCTGAAAAATGATAGAGTTGATTTTTTTCCCCCCCCAAGCTCTTCTAGAAATAAAAAGCTTCACATGCCCAAAGGGGTTTTTTTTTATTCCTTGTCTTAGTCTCTCGCTAAATAATGGCATTACCTCAATAGCCAAAACAGTAGCAACTGTAGATGATAAAAATTGTATCCCTCCTTTTTTATTTCTTTTTTTTCACAGAGTTAAAGCTCACTACCAAGGAAATAAAGCAATGCATAATAACACAGAATGTATCTTTTGATCCTTTTCTCCCTTTCCACTTTCAACTCCATCTTCCCTAACCAGAAAAAACACAAAATGCACTTTCTATCCCTTCCCCATTTCTTCATGCAACTCTTCATGCATTTCCTCTTCCTATGCTGTTCCATCACTTTAATGGATTTTTCTCACTACATTCTCTTAATTCTCTCTAAATTCCTGTTTCCTTTTGTCTTGAAATCATTTCAATAGTTTTAGTTCGTCTCTGAAACATCATCTCTCTAGTATTATCTTTTTCTCATCAGATGGTCACTTTACTTCCCCGAAATCTGGAGATTTTTTTGGTCACAATTTTTTGCCTTGTTTTTCACCCTAAAATACTGCCCCTCACAGAGATAGCATCTATGTTTGCATACAGAAGTAGGAAGCAAGATTTCATTTCTCATATGTCCCCAAGGTGCTTTTTCTGCTCTTTCAGTGAGCATAAAGATAATGTCTTCTCTTTTTCTGTATTTCTCGTTCTATCTACTTAAGGCTAACCTATTTCCGTCATATTATTGCTTTCTCTCGTTGTTGGAGATAGCACGCTAAGAACTTGGCTTATTAGGAGAACCATAAAAAGGAACATCAAAGCGAAGTATCAGTGGTTAATATTACAATGTTTTTTAGAAAAAATCATGGGTACTCCATCTTACATTTTGAAAGAATTTTCCACAATAAAAGGTCTAGCAATTTACTTATGTTTGAAGGAAAGCTGAAATTAACTTTGGAATTGTATTATTAATCGCTTACCTTATGTTGTTGCTAGTGATTGGTATTCGAATCAGTTCCTGTAATGAGGTTCCACCGCCTAGTTCCCAAAAATGAGCTATATCTTTAGGCTGTAAAAGAGTTTCTTTAGATCAGAAACATGTGTTTCCATGCAACACCAAGAGAAGATCTTCATTTGACAAACTGGCTTTTCATGCAAGTGACTGAGAACAAAAGCATGTATTATTTCACTAGTATTTTCTGAAAAACAAAACCAAATAAAAAACTCCCCATGTTCAAGAAATCCCATACAACACTTACGAAAGACTGGCATGCCTCTGACTGTCTTGTTAAATTACCACAGTAATGTAAAGAAGTCAGGAAGCAGCATGATTAATGATAAACATTAAAAAATCAGGTTCTCTTCCTTTTCTTTTTGCTTACTGCAGCTCAAGACTAGTGCTTTTTGAAAAGTTTGCAACTAGAAAAGTAATGAATCTCTACCTTCACATTTAGTTTCTGGGAAAAGTTTTAAGTGATTTTTATCTTTCAGAGTCAGATTTTCCACTCCCTGCTTCAGTAACAGAAACAGCAATTACCTGCAGCAATGGTTGCTGCTGCTGGGCAGTGTTGTGCTGTGATGGGAATGGGTTCGATATTTCTGTTAACATAATCTACAGTGCAAAATTTAGCGATATGGACACATAGCCCCCAAATTTAGTTGTGATTTAACATCCTCTGAGATGACTGCTTCTCTCATAAAACTGATGGTAAGGTATCTTCATTGGTTAGTACTCATTTTACATTTTAAAGACAAAGTTAAAGGCATGCATCCTATGTTACAATGGGAAAATAAAAGCACTCAAACATGACAAACAGGGTAGTTTTTATAGATGGATCTGATTGCTTTGTGTTATACTTTGGTCTCTGATTTGCTGTGTTTTAGTGAGGGGGGAAAACATAATACAGATCAAATTACAAAATTAAGCTAGCTAATTTAAATAAAATCATATTGAAAAAAACCTTTTTGCTTCACAAAAAATGACCTAAAAACCCTAAGATTCTTATACAGGAAAATAAAACACACAGTTTTGTGTGTGTGTATATATAAAGTTATAGTAAACTATACTTTCTGGGTACTCACTGTATTATGTCTCCTTGCCCTTCTTCCAAAAGTGTATTCCAAGGCTAATGTTGGCTTTGGAATCTCTTCCCTATGCAAGGAAAAATAACTTCATTTTGTCAAGATCCTCTAGATAAAGAAAGTTAATTCTACGGTTACTAAATTGTATTTATGAGTCAGTTCAGAACGTGGCTTAGAAACAGCAGTACAGAGAGGACACTTCAAGACAACAGGTCTCTGTTGCTGTAGACAGGAAAAGCAGCAGCACCAACCTGCTTAGATGGCCATTTAAGCTCTCTAATACTGGGGAAGAAGGACTGAAGGGGTCAGACAACAGGTAGTACTGAAGGGAAATAAGTTTATCCACAAGCGATCAGCCGGCCACAGAATACAACATCTGTGTGCATATATTATGAATTATCACACATACAAGTATTCACGTCAAATTCTAATCCATAGTTGAAAACTACTTTTAAAAATTTAACACATACCTCTCAAGACACCTCAGTATAATAGTGGTCTTTCCCTGGAAATTAAAAACAAAGAACCCTATTGTGCTGTCATTAAAGCATAAAAGTTCACTAAATGAAACTCACTCATTTAACATTCCAATAATAAAGTACTGGAAAAGTGTAAACTCGATGTAATTGTTTGTAGCCTTATAGTGGAAACTGCACTGCCAATTTTCTGTCAAAAATCAAGTTACACTACCATTATTATAATTATAAACTAATAGAGATGACAAATATAGCAATAGGAATAGTGTGCTTAAAAATCAGACATTAGTGATCAACCTGGACAACTCTGTTAGACTGTTTAACAGTTTTTAGTTATTAATAATATATTCAGGTAATGTTTGGTTTCCACTGGAATTAATTATTACCGATAAGATGGAAATAAAAGGAATGCTTAAAATACAAATAAACATACAGAAAAACATATCTTTACGCTGTTGAAATTCAGACACTGAGCACCATGCTGCACTGAAGGGGCTCGCACTACATTTCACTCCTGTGTCCTTTCCTATCTCAAAAATCAGTGAATTTCAGATAAATCTGAAAAGTCATTGTATTTTCTCTGAAAAAGTTATTTTAAAAATTGCTGATTAAGAGGCCGCACATACACCAATCCTTCTAAAATAAAAATTGGATTCTTAAAAATATGACTCACTTGGTCAAAAAGGCAAGTATTTCCTTATTTACTTTACAAATAATTGCTAACAGAAGAAAGATATGAAATTACTATCGTGCAAATGGGGATTTGACAATGAGTTAAAACAACCTTAGGCATGTGAAATCATGAGTGTGCAATCATTGATAAGGCATGTTCAAATAGGTCTGACATAATACAGATGAAACTCATAACAGGATGTCAAGACCTCTACAACAACACTGGTATCAACGCACTTAAACTGGACTGTTACCAGCTAAACCTTTACAAGGGCATATTTGACATGTCAAACAATTAAAGAGAGTAGCATTATTTCCAGCAGTTACTTTTACAAAAATTAGTGAACCGAAACCTGAAAGAATTAGCACATCATCAATAACAACAGTTGAAGTTTTGACTCGGCAAACCATAAACTGGAACTTCTGAATTGCAATAGTGTCTAACTAGTCCACACTCTGTGGAATGCCCACTCTCTGCAAATTAGAACATGACGTATTTTGCCTTTAGAAGAATTAAGTGGACCTTAATATCTGAAAATATCAGATATTTCCCCGACACAAACTATGTTTGAAAAGCACAGAACTGTACAGTATTTAGCGTTACCCCATTTTTGTTTCCCATGAATAATATAGATTTTTCCCAAACTTCCACACGCTTGCCATCATCGTCAGGGTTTTCTCTCTTCTCCACTTCAGCTATAGCAAGATCCCACAAAGTATCACTAGTTGGAAAAAACCAAGTAAGACTTGTCATTAGAAAAATAATGGACCCTAGACCATCACTCCTGAAAATATCTCCGTGGATAAATGAAGGGTATTGTGGTTTATTATTATTTTTTACTATTATTATTTCACATCACATGCCCTCTGCTTGCCGAAGTACTTCTAACAAAGCCAGCTTGAGTAAAATTCCTCAGGTAACCCCAACAGCCACTTGTGGCACACGCAGAGCAAAGACCGGCTGTGTAGCGCCAGGCTCTGTTTCGAGTACCTTTAAGACACCTTTAAAAGGTTTTGTAACGATTAAGGCTTTTCACAGCAGGTCAGGCTGGCCGCCTCTGGAGTCGGGAACTCCCGGACACCGGCAACGGAGGAGCCGGCCACCGGTCAGCGGGCTCGGGAAAGGCTCAGGTCCTGCCCTCGGTGTCCCGGGGAAGCTACTGCCGGGGGCAGCGGGGCTTCCCCTTCTCAGGCTCCCCCAGGGCCTCATGCGAGGCGGTGGGGTTAGGCCTCTCCCTTTTCTATGGGGTCCCTAACAGAAGCAACCGGCTCCTCGCACCGAGGGCCAGGCGGGCGCCCATCCTGCCCTCGGCCGCGCTCGTTTTCGGGAGCGGAGGCCGAAACGGCCCCTTTTAACGCTCCCTCCCTTCTCCAGGCTGTCCTCCCGGGCCGCCGGCTCCTTCCCCACACAGTAGCGGGGTCAACCCCCACGGAACCCGGGCAGGGCTCCCCGTTACCTGGCCTTGGGCATCGCTCCTCAGGGCCCGGGCCTGGCTCCCCGTCGCCATGGGAGCCGCGCAGGGCACGCTGGGAGCTGTAGTTCCGCGGGGCGGGGGGCGGAAGGGGACGGAGGCCGCTTCCCCGCGGAGGCCTCGCC